CACACACACACACACCACCACCACCACCACCACCACTACCACCACCAGCATTTTTATTGAGCAATTAATATGTCTTGCTCTCCCAATGTATAACCTACTTGATCTCTAGTCTCACTAAAGATAACTCACCATCCAAATGTGTACAGATGAGTTAATGAAACAGAATGCTCCTTGAAGACTATAAGCCTAGTAAGTAATGGGGGCCAGGTGGGCCTACCAGATTCCTGAGTCCAAACTCTTTGCTGGGATCTCCAGTCCCTGGTGGTGTGACTTTCATTCTGTTGAACATGTTCTTTCTAAGATGGTGATGGATCTTTTAATACTTAACTCAAATGTCTTGGGCCGTGTATGTAGCTCAGGCAGTGGAGTGTCTGCCTGCATGCACGAGGCCCTAGGTTCAGCCCTCAGTGCTGCATAAGCCGTGAATGGTGGCCTATACCTGTAATCCCCAACTTTAGGAGGTAGAGAAAGGAGGATCAGAAGTTCAAGGTCATGCTCAGCTGCATAGCGAGTTGAAAGACACCCTGGGATATATGACACCGGTTCTCAAAAATGATTGATTTATGTTCCAACATTTCACGTCTGATTTGTTGACCTTCTCCAATTTGCAAATCATTTTGTTTGTTTGTTTGTTTGTTTGTTTTAAGGCAGGTTTCACAAGGTAGCTGGGGCTGGCCTTGAACTTTTGGTCCTCCTGCCTGAGCCTCAGGAATGCTAGAAAAACAAATGTGAGCCACCATGTTGGAACGTAGTCCTCCTCTCCTGCTTCTTTTCCTTCTTTCCTCTCCATCTCCTTTACTTCCTTCCCTTTTCTTCACCTCTGCTGTGGCCCCCAGATCCTTCCTTTACCCCCACGATTTCGACCATCACTTGTTCCATAACTTGCCTATACCTCACACACGTTGTATGTGGGCTTCCAACCAGCCTGGTCATCTTCTTCATGAATACCCTCCAAGTGCCCTGCAGTGACCTCACACACACTATTGACTCTACAATGTATTGTAGGTTTCCTCTGCCCATGGGACCGTCTCTTCCCAGAAACCAGCAGCACCAAGGCTCAAGGTTACCTTTACTCCCTGCCCCCTTCTCCCGAGTCAGCTTCTGAACCTTTCCAATCAATCTGACGCAATCTCCGGCAAATCTCTCTGTCTGTCCACCCTGTTATCTACTGAGTCCGACTCTCATTGTCCTCTCTCTGGGTTTGCTGCATCATCGCAGCCCTCTTATCTGTGATGGTTCCTGTTTGTAATGTGATGTATCTGTGATGGTTCCTGTTTGTAATCCACCCTTCACATTACTGCTATCGCCTTGTCTCTGAAAGGTACATTTCTTCCTCAGAGAGTCTACCAGGTGGCTCCGGGCCTGGAGGAGCCCACCTGATGTTTCCTCATTCCTTTGTATCTAGGGCCCCAGGCCCTGCCTAGGCTTACACATACCTTCCCCTAAGCATTCTCTAGAATAGGTTCTCAACCTCTTGCTTCACGGTTTCTCCCTCCAGCTGTTCCAGATGTTTTCTCCTTGGTCCATCCTCCCTGTGTACTTGTAAGAGCCCAGGTGTGCTGGAACTGTACTTAGCGTTCTATGGCACTTTGGGAAACCATCAACCCTGTAGTTCTAAGTTTCTCTGGCTTCTCCAAAGTCAGTTTTAATATTACGAGATGCCACGTCACTCCCACCTGTATGACCATGGAGAATTATTCAACCTCCCCAGTCTCCTGAGTTCCCTGTTTGGGCAGCCGAGACCTTTATTGAGGCCCCTTCACCATCTACCTCTCCTTCTGCCAGGGTGTTTCTCTTCCTTCTGTGTCACAGATGTTGCTGCCAACAGCCCTCCCTGGAGAACTTCCTGCGTGCCAGCCTCCTAAAGAGCATGTTATGGCAGTACCTTGCCCTGCCTGGCACAGAGGCAGGCCCCATGAAGGGGAGTTGCTTCGTACTTCTTCTTAGGCACTCTGGATGCTTTGCTCTGCTCCGGGGTGCCTCTGCTGATGCCTTCCTTTCCAAGATGTGGAGTGGAAGCTTCTTGGCACTGTGTGGCACACTCTCCATGAGCCCCTCTTAGCTGTGACCTCTCTGTGCTGGCACAGGGTAGGCATGAATGGTTGCTGGTTCACTCTCTCATCCAGAGTCAGAATACCTTTGTTTCCAGATTCCAGACTCCGCCCCATTGTGTTTATGACAGCCCGTGGGGCTCATTTGAAGACACTCAGTTGCTTGAGTTTGTGGAAGACTTATTAGTAAAGGCTGTGAACGGTGAGCATTTGAAATCCGGGCTACTATTTCTAATGCCTGGGAATAAGCAATTATTCCTGTGGACCATAGAAACTGACTTAGTTGATAGGAAGCACTTGGTGACTCTCAGGGAGTAGCCTACAAGGGCTTGTGGCGGTGAGTTCCTTAGGGAACTCACATCACTCAGCCTTCTGTCCTTCCTCCAGAGACTGGCTTAGGAAGTTTTGGTACCCAGAACCACTGGGTTGAGGACTCTTGGATATCGAGACAGTAGAGCTAATGAGCATGGACCACCCTTCCCTTCTTGTGGCCTTCCCTTCAGTGACAAGGGTACAAAGAAACTAGTGCAGGGGGATGGCAGGAAGGGGAGGTTTGTCCATTTGCTTACACAATGAGGGGAGGTTCCAGGAAGCATAGAGATTGAAGCTGAGAGAGTAGAGTTTCCACAGTAATTGCTGACAGGAATGACTGTCTCCAACAGAAAGGCTTGCTTAGAACAAAGGTCACACTCTGTAAGACAGAAGAAATACTTTGACAGGTTTCCGCATCGTGGACTATGGGCACTTCAGCCTTTCGGTCTCCTGTCATTAAAACCATTCTGTGACTACAGGAATTGAAGCCGTGAGTGGGGGGTAGGGATTGGAGGTGGCATCAGCAAAATCAGTATATGAAAGAAGCTAGTTGGTAGACTTGGAACCCATTGCCCACCTGGGCTGCAGGTAACAGAGAATGTCTTTAAAAAAAGCCTTTGAGATATAAACATAAGGAAAACAGGTGCCTGTAAAAGGTCATGAGCCTCATGGGCATGTGGGGTGTGTGTGTATGTGTGTATGTGTGTGTGTGTGTGTGTGTGTGTGTGTGTGTGTATGTGTGTGTGTGTTTCTCAGCTATTCCTGGGAAGATGTGGACAAATCTCTACTCACCCCAGACAGGGAACCAACGAAAGACTAAAGTAAAGAAATTGCCGAAGTCCCACTTGGTGAGTTTTATTGAGATTTCTTACAGGAATATGGGGAAGAGGTTACCCAAATGACCTAAAGACAGCTGCATCACCAAAAGCCGCCTCCCCCCCCCTCCCCACACACACACACATACACCGGCATGGTGCCTCACAAAAGCCAGAAACCTGAAGCTCAGTGCTTGACAATTTAAAAAGCATCACTTCTGGGCAACTCAGTCTCTGCCTCTTCCAGGCAGCTCAGCTGCTCTTAGCCTGCTCTACAGCAGCTTGATTTGTTTGACCATGTCCGTCAGGAGTCCTTATAGCTTATAAATGCTTAGGGAAGGGGGGGCCCAGTGGACCTGGTCAGTTTTAGGCTTCCTGAAGCCTTTGAGTTTCTTACTTCTTGAGCTTAACAAGGTCCCCTGCAGGAGGTAATGTTCTGGCTCCTTTTAGAACAGCCTATGTTTTAAGAGTGCCCGCCCCCCACCCCCGCAAGTTGGAAGGTTTTGTGTAGGAGGGAATTGCTACCTATGAGCTCACAAGCCTGTTCCCAGTCTTGGGAATGCCTTACCCTTTCTTAATAAATTATCCTTGTTTCTGTTTCTAACTGTCTGTCCCTGGTACATGTCATAGTCCTGAAACACAAGAATCTGAAAAATCTCACCAGGAGTCCTCCAAACTCAGATCTGTCCCTATAACAAAAGCAAATATCATGCATTAAAATACATTACATTAAAATATTACCTCTAACAAAAGTTCATTTTTTTTTCCCCTTCGGATTTGAGAAGATATCACACATTTATTGGGACTTAGCTGCTGAGTCGCCAGGCCTAAAAGGCAGCAGAAAGAAGGCAGGAGAAAATCCCCACGGCATCCTAACTATAATGAGTTCCTTCTGCCATCACCTGTAGAGAGAGCACAGGCAGAGCCGGGAAAGAAATGGCAGGTTTGGAAGAGCTGTTGGCAGAAAAGAAAGGGTGTCACTGAGACGGTTGCCAAGCAACAGCAGACGCGGAAGTGGAGAGGTTGCTGAAGGGGCCTTACACTGGAGCCCGTCCACAATGCTTGTAGAATCATCCTGTGGTCCTTGGTGCTTCTGGGGCGCGGCACCAGCGGATGCTCTAGAGACATACCTCCACACAGCACTGGGCACTCCTCCCGGACCAGATGGGATTATTTCTTTCCCAAACAGTCCGATGTCTCTCTGCTGCCTACAAAACAAGCGAAAGTCCTTTTAGTATGCCACAGAAGGCATTGCAAAAATAAAGCCTATTTTTTATTTTCCAACATTCTGCAAGTAACAATGCTCATTATAGGAACTCTGGAAAGCATAAGGGGAGAAGAATGCAAAGTAAACATTCCCCAGAGTCTTAGCACCAAACATTGCTGCAGCCACCATGGTTCCATGTTTCTCTCTGTGAGTCTAGGATCATGCCACCCAGCCTTGCTTAGGGAACCGGGCAATGTCAGGAAGCAGCAATGTAACTTCACCAGGGGAAGAGGGCAGACTCCCCTGCGGAATGTGGAGTTGGAATCTAAGCTCCTGTGTTGACAGTGAAGCCCCTTAGAGGAGGAAGTAAGACACCCCTCCCCCCTCCACAAGGCCTTTATAATTTAGCTACAGTCTTTGATTTAAATTCACCTCCAGCCAACAAGTGGCCTTGAACACGGTACAAGATACATCATCTGCTGGCTCTCCCCCATGCTAGCACAAAACGTCTTTGGGTTCTGCACTGGTTTTTGTGTGTCCTCAGAGCTGGCCCTGCATCCCCACAAGACCCAGCTGGAAAGGCTATCCCCACAGTACTGACTCATTCTGTCCTCTCAAAGTGCATCCACTATCTCTCCTATTACTGCCACCGTGAAAATGACACAATAACCATGGGACTGAAGGTCTCTCTCCTGGAGGACAAGACCATGGTCTAGCCCAACCTCGTGACTTTCTTTTTTTAAAAAAACTCTGTTCATTTCTTTCTGGAAAGCATTATATATATATGAATTATGTCCATTATGCCCTGTCACATGCCAGAAATTATTTAAGAAAGTGTGCAGGGAAGCTAGGCATAGAGGTACATGCCTGTCATTCCAGCATTTGGTAGGTGGAGTCAGGGGGATCAGGGATTCAAGGGCATCCTCAGCTACATAGTGGATCTGTGAGCGGCCTGGGCAACAAGAGGCCTGTCTCCAAAAAAAGGAGGAGTGGGGAGGAAGAAAGGGAGGAAGGTTGGGAGAGAGGGAAAGAAGAAGGGGGAAATGGCGGGGGCGAGAATAAGAACCTAGATAGGTGTATGTAAAGGAAAAAATAGAGAAGCCACAGAGTAAAATGAAAAGTCAATTACAATTGCAAATGATGGCTACTGCCCGACTTTAGGAGGGGAAGCATTTGGCAGTGAGCCCTGGGCCAGCCAAAGTGAGAGGGTCTCTTCTAGAACACACAATTCACAGTTCGTGACTATGGCTGGACTCGGGCAGGCAGGGAGAGGATACTTCATTACCCAGCTTTTCTTGGAATTGAGGTTAAGTGGAAATTGCTCCCTCGCGCTTCTGGTACAGAGGATTTTGTATGGCAGGACGAAACCGGTTTTCTACTGCTAGTCAAAGAATTTCAGCGAAGCTTGGCGGTAAAAACAATGTGTTACTGTTCCCTGTGGCTCTCTGGAAGGGCCTGGCTGGAGGTCTCCCCATGGGTCCCCTGTGGAAGATGACAATGTTGTGAGAAGTTTGTTTTTCCTTGGAAGTACGGAGTCTGAGCTGGGACCATTGGAGGACGTGGATATTGATACACCATATCTAAGTACATACACCCTGCTGTTGTCTAGCTTGAGTTTCTTCACATCACAGCAGCTGGCTTTCCCCTATAGGAAACATAACCAAAGAATTGCAAGTTCCCCTAAGACCTAAGCTTGAAGGTTTCCCAGAGTCACTTGTACAAAGCCCTATTAATCAGAGTAGCCACGTACAGACTTGGGACTGTAGCTCAGTGGCAGAGCGCTTGCCGAGCATGCAGAAGACCTTGGCTCCATCCTCAGCAATGGAAAATAAACAAGCAAACCAGAAAAAGAACGAGAACACTCACACTGCTCTTAGTGGTAATTAGTGGGATGGCATCCCAGTACTCAGGACACAGAGGCAGGAGGATTATAAATTAGAAGTAGACTCAGTTAAATAGGGAGTTCTAAGCCTACCTGGGGCTACATAGCGATGCAGCCACAGGCAAACCCAGTTTCACATGGGTAGGGAGATAGAATCCACCTCCTAGTGAGGGGACAAGCTATGCAGGGACAGAGGGAACCACAGGCTATCTGCTCATCTTCTGCAACCCTGTTTCTTTTTTCTCAGCATAGCCTTTGACAATAATTCATTCGCAAATACTTGGTTTCAGTTGACAAACGGTCATTGGGTATACACTGTGAAAATCAGTAGAGTATGGTGAATCTAGACTTTTCTACTTATTAGTGCCGTAACCTTAGAAATGAGTTAACGTCACTACAACAGTTTCTTCATCTACAATTGAAGAAAATCATAGTACGTTCTTCATAAAGATGGTTGGGCAAAGAAACTAAGTCAATACATGTAAAGCGCCTGTGTCAATATATCATACACGAGCACGGCAATTACCCCTAAGTGTTCATTTCTATAATCACCACTAGCCCCGCCGTAATCATTGTATTCGAGGCACTATGATTTGCAAACAGAGCACAAAGCGTGTGTGCAAAGGAATTTTCCTGAAACAGACAAAACTTCTGTGGTCTGTGCCTGTCTGAGGTGACCTCACAGGTTTAAAAGGAGGACAGTAGTGGACCTGTGGCAAGCCATCTCAGTGCCAGGTGCTTGATCCAGTACCCGTGTTCTTGGTCACCCCCTTACAGCAGGCAGGACAGCCTTGTGTCCAGGTTCGCCCAGTTTTTAACTGGCAGAACTAGGGTTTGAACCCAAGTTCTTCACTGATGGGTCTATCAAAGGTTAAAGGATATTTGTTTTCTTTTACATCCCCCCAGGCCCTACCCTGCCATATCTTTTACTTTTTGAGACAGGATCTCTCTCATATAGCTCAAGTTGTCTTCAGACTTAGTATGTGGCTGTGGGTGACCTTGAACTTCTGACTCCCCTGCCTCTAACTCCTGAAGGCTAGGTTGAAAGTGTACGACCAGTATCCATGTAGCACTCCAACTAAGTTACATCCCTAGCCTTAGAGGAATTCTTTTTTTTTTTTTTTTTTTTTTTTTTTCTTTTTTTGTTTTTTTTTTTTTTTTTTTAAGATGAATGACCATTTATTTTTATGTCTCAGTATTCTTTGATGTAACAGTTTTTTTTTTTGTGATATATATTTTTTATTTTTACAATACCATTCAGTTCTACATATCAGCCATGGGTTCCCCTATTCTCCCCCCTCCCACGCCCTCCCCTTACCCCCAGCCCACCCTCCATTCCCATCTCCTCCAGGACAAGTCCTCCCCCGAGGACT